TTAAAAAAAAAGAAAAAGATACAGAGACAAGTAGATTTAAAAAAAAAAAAAAAAAAAAGAAAGAAAAACACGAAGAAACGGAAGACAAAGAACCCTTTTACACTTGGTTTAGTGGAGTTTTCTGGGGTATATAAGGGGTACAAGGTGCGCATGGTAACCGAAGGCAGGCAGAAACCTCCCCCTCCTTCCCCATCCCACCTCTCTTTTCCTGCCAGCTTTGAATCAATAATCTCCGGCCAGGATTATATGCAGAGTCCCTTTTATATTTGGTGCCGTGATAAGAAAGATATCGACAGATTAAAGAACTCTGGGGGCCCGGGTATAACCGCGGGTAGTATCCGTGAACGTTTCTGTGGATTCGCGATGGTACACAAAATCACGGAGAACATTTCTGAGACTGATTTATTCTCTCCTCCTCCTCCTCTTTGGCATTACGTCGTGTCTTCCTCCGCTTACCGGTGCGCGGTATCGGCGTGCGGATTATTGATCTCTTCATCCTCCTCTTCGTCCCTTTGTGATATTCCGAGGAAAAGAGTCAACGCGGCGAATATGATTACATTGAAGTAACTCGGAACGAGGATAGTCCGCTTCACGGAACGATACAATCATGAATCGATCCTATCGATGTTTCAACGTTCATCGTTTAAAAGGGCCTGCCTTTCCCCCCCATTCTAAATCTTTCTTTCCTCGAAATCCAGTCGAATCTACTCCTCTCCGAATCTCTCGACGACGAATCTCAGATCCGTTTCTTAATTCGCGATCTTCGGAATATCTACTACAAATATAATACTATGGTGATCACACGTGGTACAAGTTTAATAAATTTCTGTGTTTCATGTGCACTGCGCAGATCAAACACTCCAGATGGAATCGCCTTCGGCCCCGGATTGTCTTATTGAGGCCCAAGAAGATTCCACCTCGGCAGGATCAGCGGGGACGATCGATGCGTCGTCGTTGACGGTGTCGTCATCGTCAGTATCCTCGCCGACTACGTCGAGGAACGAGTCAACGGAGCGCGATAACGATGTTAATAAGCAAGAGTTTGCCAGTATAGAATCGTGCGAGATCTCGGCGGTAGCTTCGGATGCCTCGAACGAGCCTTCGGAGACCTCGAACGACTCTTCGCCCGGCGAAGGTCAATTAGATATTTCCGACATGGGTCTTAAGCTTGGCAAGGACAAGAAGCAACTTCGAAACACGGACGACGATGTCGAAGTGAAGTTGAACGTATCTGTGGACGAACGAGATTGTTCGACGCCGACGTCAACGCCGATGTCGCCGTTGGTTCAGTGTATCGAAAAAGAGACAGAGTCTGATTTTAAAGTGTTGGATAACAACGACGGAGGATTCGTCCCCTCGTCGCCATTATGTAGAAAAAGACCGGCCAGTGATTTCCTGCCGATCAATGCGGAGATCAAGCGGATTGACGTTGAGATTCCCGAGAACGATCTGAATCAAGTAAGAAGCGACGTGAGGAGGATCTCGCCGGTGTTGGTGAGCCTTCGAGAGCGCACCCTCGGCGAAATATCCCTGTCCTCGGACTCGTGCCTGTTCGACGACGACGTTAACAGTCGATGCGCCTCGAGGAACAATAGGATTATCGACGACCTGTTAACGAATGCTTGTAGGTTATCTACGACAACGGTCGTGGACGGTTCTTTTCAAAGGGATCATGATCCCGAGGAAGCAACTTGCGTCGAGTCGGAGCACAGGATCATCTGCAGAGAAGCGACGTCACCGGAAGGTGAATGTACTAATGGCAGCGTCGAGGAGGCGCTGGCAGAGCCCTGTAAAAACCTCGAATACTCGGGCTCGTTCATCGACGAGGACTCATGTTGTTCGCTGTCGCGCGAAAGCCCCGAGAGGAATTTCAGCAAGTGCCAGGAACCGAAACAGTGCGAGGAGCCTATCGAGGAGTGCTCATGCAACGATATCATGCCTACGAACGATGCTTGCGCGATACCGGTCGCGGTGAATAAACAAATGAAACAAACTTCGTTACCCCATTTAATAGTTAAGATGGAACACGTCGACTTGTCGCAGTACTTGTCACCGGACCGGAAGAACGTGAAATACGTGGTCGTCAGCTCGAAGAAGAAACAGAAGAAGAACACCGCGTGCAATGATGATGATAGCAACGTAGCCGTAAGAACTGATTCCAAAGACACGTTGAAGGAAGTACGTTGTATCGTTGAAAATTGCGCTTACGAGAAAAACGTCCAAAAGACTGAGTCACAGGACCACATGGAGAATTCGACGGATTCTCCTATAGTATCCAATCTGAAACAGACCAAATTAACAAAATCATCTTCCGCTGGCGTTGTGAAGGAATGCAAGGTGGTCTTGCAGAGGATAACGTTGCCGATGACTACGAGAATGACGTCGACGGAGAAATCGGAGAACGAAGAAACGGGACCGAGATCGGTAATGGAGAAATTGGAGACCGACGAGAAGATTGTGTTCTCCCCGTCTTTATCCTCCGCCGAGAATTTACAATCGCTGAACAATTTAGATTCGTCTGAAACGACGCTAGGCTCGCCGGAGATGTTGGAGCCAACCGCGGATGTTCCAGAAACGATCGACACAGAGACGGAAACCGAGACTGGGTCTGATAGCTCCGAAATATCGGCCATGACGAGCGTACCTCTTCGTGGATGCGAAGACGATGCCGCTTCTGACCAAATATCGTGTCAAGAGAGCAGCGAGTCCATGTGCTGCGTCGATATTAATCCGGAGATTATATCGAGGTTGGAGCCGGAAAGGCCGGAAGCTTTTACGGAAGATTCAGCAGAGAGTCTGGCACTTGCCGCTGGTGCACGGGACGAAGTTAGATCGGATGGAAGCGATTCTGGTCTAGGCAGCGAGATTCCTGGTGATTCTGGGCCTGCACCGGTCCCCGAAAGTGATTCGGAGACTTCTTTCTTGGATAGGATACCCGATGATATTCTCTCCGACAAAGAAAAAGGTAATTAAACAACATCGTCTATATATATTTTATAAGTTTTCATTTGACAAAACATTTTAAGGAGTTGATATTACATAGTTAATACGTTAGTGCTGTACAAAAGATGTGTTAATGTATTTCTGAATATAAGAGAATGTGGCAAGAAAGCGTAACGTGTAACATTCTCTTTTTTAGCCGTGAATCAATTGGACAGCTTTGTGTCGAACGTGGGTATACCAAGTACAGCACAGTCGCCATTGACGAACTTTCGGAGTCCTACAAAGAGTAATCTAAAACGAAGATTAATAGATTGCATGGAAGAGGCTCCTAGTCCGAAGAGAAGCAACACGGATGAATCGATGAAAAAGAAACGCAATATTCAGTTCGATGCCGTCACCGTTTATTATTTTCCTAGGGCACAGGGTTTCACTTGTGTGCCTTCTCAGGTATATATTTTGATTACGATGCAGACTTTATTTCACGTCATCGCATATCACGAGGAATATATTAGTAGTGTTTTTACTGATAGAACGTATGAATGTAGTGTTTGAAATTTATTTATCTTCAGGGTGGCAGCACTCTTGGTATGAGCGCGACGCATACTCACGCAGAACGGTTCTCGTTGTCGGAGCATGCTGCTGAACAGAGGCGAATTCATCGTGCTCGACTAGCTCAGTTGCGTTCGGAGCGTGCCGCCAATTGCGTATCGGAAGCAGCTTCCAGCTCTGAGGATCCCAGCGACGACACGGACGAGGAGCAAAGTGATAATGAGGAACTGGACATTGATAGTTATTACTTTCTACAACCAGTGCCTACATGGCAGAGACGAGCTTTGCTTAGAGCTGCTGGAGTACGTAGAATAGATGCGGTCGAGAAGGACGAGTGCCGCGACATTAGAGCTAGTAGAGAACATTGCGGTTGCGGGTGCAAAGGATACTGCGATCCAGAGAGCTGTCCTTGTAGTCGAGCCAATGTAAAGTGTCAGGTTGGTAAACAAATGCCACGCGATAAACTCGCAGATTTTTTTCTTAGCGTAAGAAATCAAGTAAATGACGCGACTGTTATATA